TTTTTTAACATAGGTTCAACATTAACATAAATATAAGATGGCAGATACATAGTTTTAGGGTAGGAGAACACTGTTTGCCACATCACTAATAGTAATGGCAGGACATTCGAACTACAAATATATATATATATATAATATTTATATATATATATATATATATATATAACATACATTTGACATTACATAAGAAAAAATGTGACAAACATTTTGTCCACACTCATAAATGAATTTATTTTTTATTTATTAAATCGATTATGCACACATATCGGGAAGTTCATGTAACTCGCCATCCATTTCTCAAATTTAAATCTTTATCTATTTCCTTTTCCCCAGGGAACACAGTCCCTCCACAGTCTGCACGCAGCCAACCTGACAAGTCTGGAGTACGCCTACGCCCTGCAGCAGCATCAGCAGCAACAGCAACAACAACACCAGAACTCCTATCCGACAACAGAACTACTTCTGTCCTCATCTGGTTTACTAATAAGCCAGGCCGGTAATCCCCAAGGAGGTGTATCATTGCTACATCCAGGAGGCGGTTTGGTAGGTGGCGGTCCTGGTGGAGCAGGAGGCGGAGGGGCTCCGCCAACATTGTCGCCGCCTTATTCGAATCAGAGCCCGCCGCATTCGGTGCAGAGCAACATGAGCATGTCACCGCAGGCGTATATAGGTAAGATAAAGGATTTATGTGTAAAATGATATATATATATATATATATATATATATATATATATACTAGATGACCCGACAGACGTTGTCCTGTACCCACATCTACATTTTTTAAATATCCTATACTAATATTTACCGTTAAGTTAAAAATAATAATTATTGTTTTTCGAATTACTATTTACACAAATATATGAGTGATGTTAAATGTAGAACTGCTTCACATAAAATGGTGATTTTCAATTCCCACAGTTAACACTTTAATTATCCCTTTAACACACATTAAAATATGTTCAACAAAATTGTATATTAAAAATTATACACTGCAATTTATAGAACAAATTTATTCACAATAGCTCAATTTATTTAAATGCCAAGGGTTATCCAATAGTTTTAATCATACCTGTGTAGATGTAGGTGTATAAATGAATGATTTTTTGTTTATTTACGACTAAAACATCGATTTTTCAAATTTATCACACAAAAATTCATCGTCTGCCTTTGTGATTTATGGTCAGAGCATAAGATACACGTGTTAGAAATTGAAGTCTTTTAAAAGGTATAACAAATTCAGAAAGAATTCATATATAGCATTCGTGGTAAAGGTACAATATCACCTTGGATTTTTCTACCCAAAATAATTGCTTCAATAATGTTGCCTATATTTTTATAATTTCGTACCATATTTTAACTGACTTTTAGTCATTTTAATATCTAAATTACATTTTTCTCACTAATAAATCAATATACATTATTACTTAAGTTCATATTCGAAGTGAATTAATTTGTCAAATCCTGTTCACAAGTGCTCTATTCAACCTACTATCAACAAAATGGAGAGGAAAAAAACGTGTGCCCTGTGAATTTTTTTTACCGTGCTTGATATTTTGGTAATAGGCTAATCTTAATCTTAAGTTCAGAAGTGAAAATAATTTACACTCCTTCACCACCCCCGGCGTTAATTGGATTATAAATCATTTAATTCTAATTTTATCATAACTTGTAATATACTATTTTAAAGGTAATTAAATGAACTACAACTTTCTCTATCATAGATTTTACCGTAACTTCTTAGCATACACAATCATAGCTCTATCAATATTTGTGTAACAAAAAAATAATAAAAAGCAATAATTAGTCAGAAAAAGACCTTGTATCTCTTTTCAGAGATATAATAATGAGAAATTGGTTGTTTTTTTAATGGATTTTTTTAATGAAATCATGAGTTTTTTGAAAATCGTTTGTACTAAAGTTGTGGTATTTTCTAGAATCCATCAAGATCTCTTAAACCAAGTTAATTCTAGATGGAATATGATTATTTTTAATTTTGGTGAAAATGGCACTCATAAACTATTTGATTTAAATGAGAAAAACATTTTATGCGTCTTTTATTTGCATGGTAGCTCACTCATTTTACACGCAGAAGTACTCATTTTAAAGCTTATTTTGAGGACTATAAAACCCCATTTTCATATCTAGCCTAATATTGTTCCTAGTACACTATAAAACAGCGATTTATTAAGATTTTAATTTATATAATTTTGTTCATTTTACTATTTTCGTTAAAATGTATATTTCTGAAGATATTAACAAACAACGCTTTTAATTTTTCTTCAACGTTTAGTTAAAAAATAATAATCTGTCAAATTAAATTTTAAATAGGGTGTGTTTAAGGCCTAGACAATATTAGAATACCCCGTGTTCATATAGACGCTTCTCTCGCCCGATTTTTACGTTCAGAAGGAATACTTAAAGGGTCCTCCGCTCG